TTACACATGAAACTCATCAGGCGGTAGCTGAAAACTTCGCCATCAGAGTTCGCTCTTGTCTACAAAATGGAGGACAATTTGAACACCCATTAAAAGCATATGGAACTTGAGTTTTCTAATCATTTAGAAGCATTTAGAAGCATTCTTATTTTTATCTTCATTAGATACAAAATGGCACATGATCAAAACTTGTAACATTTTTTTGGTCCACCCTGTACAAATCAGCTGTTGTGCAATCAAAAAGGTTACCCTATGTGCAATTTATTGTCCTCCTAATGCTCACACCCAATTTTTCTCAGCAATGCACACTCTTGTTGAGTCAATCCCATCCCATGACTACATCCTACTGGGTGATATAAACTGTAACCTATTGGATATTACCACCCCAGGGTTCAGACTCCTGCCTTGACATGTGCAAGGCCCTAAATCTTAAGCAGCTCACACATTTTCCCGCATGAATGACTGGAAAAACTACTACCCTCATTGACCATATTTACACTAACTGCCTATCCAGAATAAATCAACATGGTACCATCCCTTCCTCTATCAGTGACCACTTCACAATCATTGTCTCTCTTACTCTTAGTAACATACAAACCTGCCACCATAAAAATTCCTATCTGCTGCCAACTCAATATCCCATACTACCTACGGACCTTATGATCTTGACCCCTCAAAGTTTATTGAAAATGTGACGCTTTAAAACAAGAGAGGATAAAGATTCAAAGCCTCTGAGAATCAGGCAGGAGTTCCCCCAGAAGGTCAAACAAGTTATACAGGGTGGGGCAAAATTAAGCAGTCGGGGAGCTTAGTTTTCAAAGTGATCGCTAGAGGCGAAACATGTCCATAGAACTTTTTGATCCAATTGGCAAGAATAGGCTCTGGTGGGGCCATTTTCCTCTCTTCAACCCCTTTCCGTTACTAGATTCAACCTCCTCGTCTTCCTCTCAGAAAGTATCTAGAGAAACGAAACTTGCATACTCGTACTTCGCACCTCATTATCTAAGAAATTTGAAGATCCAACTCTCCAGGATTGCGGTAGAACACTGAATGTCGCTTAATTAAGATGCGAGACGTCTTGAATTCCCCGAGGTTGATTCTTTACAGGCCCAAGTGCCTGGGTAAGTCAACGGTTGAGAGATTTTTAAAGGAAAAAACAAAATGAAATGAAACCAGATAGGAATCAATTCGCAAATCCCGTCAAAAATGCCACCAGGAAAATGGAGGGGTGCAGTACGTAATTCCCTCCAGAGGTGGCGCCAGGAACATTTGGGGGGGTGCAGTTCGTAATACCCACCAGAGATGGCGCCAGGAACATTGAGGGGGTGCAGTTCGTAATCCCCTCCAGAGATGGCGCCAGAAACATCGGGGGGTGCAGTTCGTAATTCCCTCCAGAGATGGCGCCAGGAACATGGGGGATGTGCAGTTCGCGATTCCATCCAGAGATGGCGCCAGGAACATGGGGGATGTGCAGTTCGCGATTCCATCCAGAGATGGCGCCAGGAACTGGGGGGGGGGGGGGTGCAGTTCGTAAAATGCCCAGCTGTTCCCTAAAATAATTATTAGCTGCTGGGGCTTTACGAGAGGACGAAGGCACTCCCTCCGCAGACATAATCTAGATGGTTCGAGGAACTCCAGTTGGGCCTATCGTTTCACGTCCCACTGACGTTCATGAAATGCGAAAGAGGCCTCAAATCCGTCTAATATTACACATCCTCTCAGAAATGGTTCGTGAACGTATGAATAGGCCTGCGATTGGCCTAACGTTACATGTTCTTAACGAGATGTTTCGAAGACCATAGATTATGGTCTATGGCTCTTATGGCTAATTCCCCCAGTAAGTCGAGAATTGAGTTTCTATTGAAAGAAAAAAAGGCCTTTGCGTGTCCTGAATGCTGTCTGTTGGTTAGGCCTAGGCCCAACATTAGTGAGTCCCGTAAGGGAGGGGGGAGGGGGATGGGGGGTTGAAAGAAGGGAAAGCCATTGAAAATTGTTTTTCACATTACACTGTTTTCCGATTGAATTGGTACCCTAGGAGCACTTCCATCAAGTACAGGCAGGACACCTTGTGGGAGGAAGGTGAAGTATTTATATTAATAGAATCATCCAAGAACCATGTGGAGCATCAGGCTTGACATCTTGAGGATCGTCTGGAAAGCTTGTGCTTTCTCTTTTCTCCACAGTAGGGGGGTACCAATTCGATCCGAAAACAATGTACTTCTTTATGATATCGATAGGCCGAATCGGCCCAGTTTCGTAAGTCGAGAATTGAGTTTCTACTGAACGAAAAAAGGTAGGTCTCGGCCCGACCCGAAGAAAGCCTCATTGATAAGATTTTCACATGACTTCATTCGGATATGGTAGATGTTCGAAGGAGTCAGAGCCAACGAGCCACTCAGACGTGCGATTCCGGAGCAGAATGATTCCAGAAGGCGTTCGGGCGCGTTGGCAGTACCTTCGAACGAGTTCAACACGGTTTCTTCGTTCCGGCGCTGCTTCGGCAATGGGCAAAGGGCAATTTTGTGGAACGGGGGAGTTCATTTTCGAAGCGAAATGCATTTCCAGATAGGATCGTGCCTCGATGCTACGTCTCCCGGAGCTGAGGAAAAAAGAAAGCCCACTCGCCTCCGAGGTTTTCCCCCGGAAAAAAGGAAATTGCTCAGAATCGAGAAAAGCGAAAAGAGCCCCACGAGGCGAAAGCAGGAAAAAGTCC